ACTGCTTAGAAAGTTGGCAGGGTCAGATTGGGGAGAAAACCACACCGTCTTACGCGGAGCCTATGTTGGATATGTCCGCCCAGTCCAGGAATATGGTATCGCAGCGTGGGGAACAGCATCAGACAAAGTAGCGAGAATCCAGAATCAAAATCTGCGGATCATCACGGAGCGATGCGATCCACGCCCATTCATGTCATGGAAACACTATCGGGGCTAGAACCCCTGAACGACAGACGCGATCTGAAAGCGATTGTTCATCAGGAAAACGTCAAAAGAATGCCAACCCATCCAATGAAGGATAGATCTTCAAAAATCCAGAGCAAACGCTTAAAAAGAACAAGCTTCTTCCATATGACCAGACACTCCAGCTCTGGACTCGAAATCTCTCTTGAAAAATCTCCAACCCCACTAGACCCGTGTCAAGTCCACCCCCTTCAGTCTAATCACCCCCTTCAAATTCGAGAAAACCTAGAAAAGCTTGGCACCAAAGCTGAAGTCCCTTCTCCAATACTCAAGTCACTGACGCTCGACTACCTGGACAGAAACTTCCCAAGCAACCGGTGGAATCGAGTTTACACAGATGGATCAGCAACTGATGCAGTCAGAAACGGCGGTGGAGGTATCTGCATAGAGTGGATAGATGGATCAACAGAAAGCCATTCCATCTCCACAGGATCTCTATCTTCCAATTACAAAGCAGAAACATCAGCACTCGAAACAGCAGCCACCATTCTCTTGAATCACCAAAAATCTAAAGCCAACACCGTCATCCTCACAGATGCCAAATCTGTCCTACAAGCTCTCCAAAAGCCACAAACAGCTCAAGTACGACAACTCCTTTCACTCCCATGTGATCTAAACTCCCAAGCCAACACAACTTTACAGTGGATACCAGGTCCCCGGGGCATTCATGGACATGAAAAAGCAGACGACTTAGCCAAAGAAGGAGCCAAAATGGCCCAGATTGAAGATGACATGGATCTCTCAGAGTCAAAAACACTAATAAAATCTACCTTAAGAAACAGATGGAAAAGGTCCCACCCTAAACACAACAGACATGACCCCTACTACATACTAAATAAAGCAGACCAGGTCACAATCTTTAGACTCCGTTGTGGCCACAACAGACTCAAACACCATATGCACACCAAATTAAAAGTGGGAGGGTCAGCGATCTGGGAATGTGGACACGACCAAGAGGATGCCAACAATATCCTTCAGCACTGCCCACGCTACACCACCATTCGTACAAAGACGTGGCAGAAAGTGGCTCCCCTTGAGAGAAAGCTCTATGGCAGTCTGTCATAGTTGAAGCGAACTGCACAGTTTGTGCGCGACATCGGACTGACTGTGTAGCTGCTGTCATCGAGAACGAGGAAGAAGAAAGAAGAAGAAAGGGCGCTCTTGTGGTCTGGAGGTTAAGATGTTCGTCTCTCATTCAATAGGTCCACGGTTCCAATCCGGATAGCAACGGAACATATTTTCTTCTCTAAATTGTTCTCCTTTCACATCCTTTCCTGCTCTCTTGTAACGATGTTCTTTCGACTGCTTTCGTCTTCACTTTCTGCCCCAGCCCCCACCCCTTTGACCCATCCTCTGGGCTCCTGGCTCTTTTGGCAGCCTTTTACAGCTACTCCTTGGCTCCTTCTTGCTGTTGTCTTTCAGCCACACCCCTGATCTTATGGTAGGTAAGATCTACACCTAGCCCGCTCGGACAAAGGCGAAAAAATCTTGAAGGTGCTGTGTGCAAGTTGCCCACGTAAAAGACCCTTTGGTGGTACAAAATGAGCCTTGGTTTCGGCCGCCACCCGGGCAACATTCAAAATTTCCTATCAACTGAAAATGTTCTCAAGCACTCACATGACCTTTTGCAGTTGTGAGCGCCGTAAAACACTTACAAAAATAAAATAAATAAATAAATTTGTAAAAACATTTCGAATTGGATTCCTCAGTTTGAGTCCAGGTCAGCCAGATTTCCAGATGTTCCTTCAATGATGGGTCAAAAGCTACCATTTTAGCACAATACGACCGATTTGACTCGCGACCTTGAAAAACAAACGCGCTTGATTTGAAGGTCACAATAAAATTGTCGAATTCGGTTAAGCTGTGCCAAAATGGTAACTTTTGCCTCATTCACTGAGGACAATCTAGCTGGCCCTGACTCAATCAATAAATTTGATTGGCAGTGTGTAGGGCCTACTCAGTATCTTCATTCACTTTTGCCTTCCCTCGGTAGGCCACCAGTTTCCGAGTTACAATGTAGATAAGAATCAGTACAGAAGTCGTTGATGTCAACCTCATGCCAGACGAAGAAGAAAAAGGCTACCCGGATAATGATTAATACGTCATTTTCCTCCTGAGGAATCTACTCGGCGTTTTAATCAGAAAAAGCTTTTATTTTCGTCTGTGTGTATTAAATAAGAAAAAAGGGGGGGGGGGGTGACATAGTGCATGCACTTGCTATAAGTATAAACTAGTTCAATAGTATACGATAGCGTAAATTACAGCTGTGGTGCATGGCTTACCTTTATTTCATTTTCTCTTTCTATCTTTCTAAGCGTTGTTCATCAATGGCAGGATAGATATAGCCCTCCAACGATGACCTCCACTCTCATGTATCGGCTGTTTCCGTTTCCAGGTTGTACCCATCTATTCTCTGATGCCATCCTGCCGTCTTTATTCTGGTCTTCCTCTTGATCTTTTTCCTGCTCTTGGTCTCCATTCCGAACATCTTTTTGTCCACTTGGTGTCTTTTTCTCTGCCGATTTATTATATATATTTTCATTTATTTTCCAGGCCATCATTCTCCATAGAATGGGCAGCTGAACATGAAGATGATTGAGAGACTACAGCACAATTCAAATAAAAGTGTCGGAGCATATTCTGAACGAGACAGCAAAGAGCTGAGAAATGCTAATTCTACCTTTTCTCTCAGGGAAAATTTCTCTCGTGGACCCCCCAGCGGAGAAACCATGCATGCTCCTGTTTATTTCCCAACCACACGTCACTTCTTGTGGATGACAAAGTGTGTTGGTATGAAGTCAAGAAAATGCATTTCGAGATCTCATATAATGCCAGCTGTGGTCCTGATGACCGTAGTGTGTGTATTATTCTGCATCATTCAGGCTTGTTCATTATCACACGCCGGGCAGATTGGGAGAAACTCTTCAACTTCCCAACTGTATTCCTTACGACAATATCTTGTGCGAAATTTCAAGGGTTGGTCAGCACAGAATGACCAGATAAGGAGATTGACGATGGTAAAAGAACAGAACAGGTTCCCATCTTGCATCATATTCGGGGTGTCGAAAGGCGGCACCAGAGCTGTCTGTGAGTATTTAAAACTGCACCCTGATGTTGTAGCTCCAAGTGACGAAATTCATTTTTATGACAACCTCACTTTACAGAAGGAAAAAGGAGTTGATTGGTACCTTCGACAGATGCCGGCGTCCAAACCCAACCAAATAACTGTCGAAAAAAGTCCGGACTATTTCCAGCATCCTCAAAGTGCGAGGCTCATTTACGAAACCAACAACTGTACCAAGCTTTTGCTCTTGTTGAGAGACCCAGTGGAACGTCTGATCTCACAATACATGCAACTTGTTGAAAAAAATCCAAGCCTACCTGCTTTTGAAGAGTGGGTAATAGATCCCATCACTGGAGAAGTCAACGTAAAACACCCATCAGTTATGGTTAGTGCATATTCCCAGTACCTAGGTGATTGGTTGAGCGTTTTTCCAAGGGACCAAATCCACATTATCGAAAGCGATAGCTTAAGGGTTCATCCACTAGAAGAGATGAAAATTGTAGAAGAATTTTTGAAAATAAGACCATATTTCACAGAAGGAGACTTTTACTTTAATGTTTCAAGGGGTTTTTACTGCAACAGGATAAGAGCTACTGGCAAAACCAAGTGCTTGGGAAAATCAAAGGGACGAGAGCACATTCCTGTAAAATCAGAGATTTTGGAGAGACTGCACAAGTTTTATTTGCCGTACAACCAGGAGCTGAACAGGATATTGAAAATGAAATTCCCATGGTCCTAACTCACTGAGAGTGATAGCTTTATTTTTCACGACTTATATTTTACAAGGATGAACACGTAATATACCCACTGTCACATTATATTTTATGCAAATGAGAGCACGTAGCAATGTTTTTATCAGTGATATTGAAGGGAAAACATTAATTCTAATTACTGTCACATTAAGCAAGATAAGAAAACGTCATGTTATATTGACGTCTATGTCGCATTGTTGTTGAAAAAACAAAAGTAATGCTGTCTCAGTGTTTCTCAGTCGTATCCAGCAAAAATGCAGCTCTACATTCCAAAGTGTATCTTTATCCACCACCACCCCTCCCCCCCTTTCCTCTGTCTCTGTCTCTGTCTCTCTCTGTCTCTCTCTGTCTGTCTGTCTCTCTCTCTCTCTCTCTCTCTCTCTCTC